GGACCTCTATTTGCCCATGAAGCATAAATTAAAATGAGAAGCAGCAGCTGCAAACATTTATTAATAATTGGAACTTGGAATGTATGAAGTATGAAACTATGAAAATTGGAAGTCGTAAAAAATAAAATGGAAGGCATAAAGATTGGAATCCTAGGCATTAGCCACTGAAATAGATGGGTATTGGTCATTCTGAGTCAGGTTGTCTTATCATTTACCATGCCAGGGACAACAGATTCAAGAGGAATGGCATCATATTCATGTCCAACAGGACAGTTCAACATGTGACTTGAAGCACAAAACTGCCCGTGACTATCTATAGATAGGAGACTATCTGCATACAGGGAAATCCCGTAATACAACTATTATTCAAGACTACACACCAACCACCAAAGCCAGTGATGAAGCAATTGAAGAATTCAGCCAAACTCCAGTCTGAAATTGATCAAACAAGCAATCAAGCTGCATTGATAGTTATTAGTCATCAGAATGCAAAAGTTGGAAACAAGAAAGAAGAGTAATTGGAAAATATGGTCTGATTCTGTGATGCTCATCTTCCCAAAACTATCGCTGAAGACAAAATGGGTGCATAAGCTACTATGGTGAAGAAAGCTGATGGTGCCCGACTATCAAAAGATATAGTGTCTGGGGTCTTAAAGACTTGCAGTTAAAGAAGCGGCCATCTAGCAGGGAAGCAAAAAGCCCACATGGAAGTAGCACACCACTCTGTGTGATCACGAGGTGTCCACGGGATCAGGTAGCAGGCATCAGAAGACCCAAAACAAACAATCACATAGATGCAAACGAGGGAGGCCAGAAGGAGACCCAAAGAAGGATAATGGGACATCCTCTCACAGAAGATAACTGGACATCCCCTCACAGAAGGGTCACATGGAAGGGATGAGCCAGCCAGGGTGCAGTATAGCACAGACGAAACACACAACATTCTTCTACTTCTTTAATGCTTCCTCCTCCCTACTATCTTACCCCAGTTCTATCTTACAAATCCAGCTAGACCAGAGCATGTACACTGGCATAGATAAGAGCTCTCAAAACACAGAATCCAGGACAGATAAACCCCTCAGGACCAATAATGAGAGTAGCGATATCATGAGGGTATGGGGAAAGTGGGAGGAGAAAGGGGAAACTGATCACAATGATCCTTGTACAACCCCCACCCCCAAGAGGAACAAACAACAGAAATGTGGGTCAAGGGAGACAGCGGATGGTGTAAAATATGAAAATAAAAAAAGAGGAGCTGATCCCAAGGACTCAAATAGAAAGAAAATGTTTTGGAAATGATGATGGCAATATGTGTACAACTGTGCTTGATACAACTGATAAATGGATTGTTATAAGAGCTGTAAGAGCCCCCAATAAAATGATTTATTAAAAATTTTTAAAGAGGTGAGAAAATAAAATAAAATATGAGCTGGATGACAGAAATGAAGCTGGAGATTGCATGACAGAACTACAACAGCAATGACTTCTTCATCCAAATATCTTTCAACAACATAAAAGGGGACGCACAACAGAGGGAACGCACAAAAATCAAATCGACTACACCTGTGGGGCAAGATGGTAGAGAAGCTCACTACCAGCAACTAAAACAAGGTCAAGAGCCAACTGTAGAACACACCATCAGTTGCTCTTTTGTAAGATCAAGCGGAAATTGAGGAAAAGTAAAACATGTCCATAAGAGCCAAAACACTGCTTGAGTATAACCCGCCTGAACCTCAAGAACAGATGCGACTCACTGAACACCCGATGAGCCGTGGGACGACAGCAAGAACATCTCACATGAAAAAAACCAAAAAGTCTTTAAAAAAACACTGAAAGAAAAAGAGAGATAAAAATGGATGTCAGAAGAGACTCTGAAACTTGTTCTTGACCATAGACTAGCTAAGGTAAATGGAAGAAATGATGAAGTCAAAGAGCTGAACAGCAAACTTCAAAGGGCCGCTTAAGAAGACAAAGTATTGTCCCCACCCCCAGCCAGTCCTGAGCCTTGGGGGCTCGGCTCGAGGGGAGTCCCTCTGGGACATGGGGTACAGTGAATGGTGTGACCCTTTGCTGGGCATGTCTACACAGTAGGGTGTGCTGGGCCCCTCTAGGGTTTCCCGTATGGGCTCCAATAAAGGTCTTCCCTTTTGCTTAAAAAAAAAAAAAAGACAAACTATTAAAATGAAATGTAAAGAACTGAAACTAGAAAACCCAAAAGGAAGAATATACTCAGCATATCTTAAATTGAAAGAACTGAAGAAAAAATTCAACCCTTGAATTGAAATATTAAAAATTCCTATAGGCAAAGCATTGAACTAGGCAGAAAACATCAAAAGCCAATGGAAAGAATATACAGACAGGGTCAATGTACCAAAAAGAACCAATCGACATTCATCTATTTCAAGAAATAGCATATGATCAAGAATTAATGGTACCGAAGGAAGAAATCTGCTGCACTGATGATAGTAATGAAAAACAAGACTCCAGGGATCTAAGAAATACTGAAATATTTCAACAAACTGTTGAAGAACTGAAAGCACTCATTCATCTATGGAAGACAGCTAGCTGGCCAAATAATTGGAAGAGATTCATATTGACCCCATTCAAAAGAAAGGTTACCCAACAGAATGTAGAAAGTATTGAACAATATCATTAATATCACATGCAAGTAACACTTTGCTGAAGATAATACAACATAGGTTGTACTAGTATATCAACTGGGTGCTTCAAGGAAGTCAAGCTGGATTTAGAAGAGAATGTGGAACAAGAGATATCACTGCCAATGCCATGTGGATCTTTGCTTAAAGCAGGGAATACTAGAAAGATGTATACTTGTATTCAACTATGTGGATCATAACAAACTATGGCTAACTTGAGAAGAATGAGAATTCCAGAACACTTCATTGGGCTCACACAGAACTTGTACGTGGGCCAAGAACCAGTTGTTTGAACGGTATGATTTAAAACCAGGAAAGGTGTGCATCAGGGTTGTTTCCTCTCACAGTACTTATTAAATCTGTACGCTGAGCAAATCATCAGAGACGCTGGACTACATGACAAAGAACATGGCATCAGAATTTGAGGAAGGCTTTTTATCACCTGTCAATATGCAGATGACACAATCTTAACTTGATGAAAGGGAGGAGGACTTGAAGCACTTGATGATGAAGATCAAGGATCATTGCTTTCTGTATGGATTACAAATCTACAAAAATAACAGCAGAATTGTCACAACTAGACTATTAAGTAACTTCATGATAAATCGAGTTAGATATATTGAAGCTGTCAAGACTTTCATTTTGCTTGGATCCACAATCAGTGCTCATGGATGCAGCAGTCAAGAAATAAAATCACACATTGCACAATATATAAATCTGGGCACAAGGCCTCTTCAAAGTGCTGAAGAACAAGGATATCACTCTGAGTACACTAAAGTGTTTCTGACACAAGCCATGGTGTTTTCAATTGCCTCAGATGCACGTGAACGTTGGACACTGAATAAGGAAGGCAGAAGAAGAGTCGGTGCATTTGAATCATGGCGCTGGAGAAGACTACTGATAGTGCCGTGGACTACCATAAGAATACCCGCATCTGTCTTGAAGGAGAGCCAGTAGTGAGGATGGCAAGACTTTGTCTCATGGGCTTTGGACATGTTGTCAGGAGAGACTACTCCCTAGAAATGTACATCATGCTTGGCAAAGTGGAGGGGCATCAAAAAAGTGGAAGAACCTCAAGGAGATGATTTGGCACCGCGCCTGCCACAGCGGGCTCAGTCACGGCTACAATGGTGAGGGTGGTGTAGGACGGCAGCGTTTTGGTCTGATGCACATGGGCTTGCTATGAGTAGGAATCTACTTGATGGCATCTACTACTAACAACAACAAAAGTAACAATACCTTTTGACTAACCCATACATATCTAGCAAGACTGATTTTCAAGAATAAAAGGCAATTAATTATAAAGCTAAGACTAAGCAAAGTCAAGGAGACTAAATTATTCAATCGCTATAATCTCACAGGGGGAGTCCTGGTGGTGGAGTGATTAAACGCTGGGCTCTAAACAACATCGGCATTTCGAAACCACCAGCCACTCCGAGAGTGAAACCTACTGTAAAGGGTTACAGTGTCAGAAACTCAGAGGGGCAGTTCTATGCTGTGCTATAGCGTCGCCACTCCGAGAGCGAAACCTACTGTAAAGGGTTACAGTGTCAGAAACTCAGAGGGGCAGTTCTATGCTGTGCTATAGCGTCGCCACTCCGAGAGCGAAACCTACTGTAAAGGGTTACAGTGTCAGAAACTCAGAGGGGCAGTTCTATGCTGTGCTATAGCGTCGCTATGAGTAGGAATTGACTCGATGGCAGTGATAATCTTAACAGAGGTGTCTGGCGGCGTAGTGGTTCCACATTGGGCTAAAAACTGCAACGTCTGCACTTTGAAACCACCAGAGGATCCTCAGGAGAAAGAGGAGGCTTTCTACTCCTGTGAAGAATTAGTCTTAAGAATTTTACCTTGACCTATAGGGTAACTGTACATCAGAATCAATTCGATAGCAGAGTTTATCATCTCATACAATCTCTTGTTGCTATTTTAAGTGTCACTGAGGCGGTTCAGATTCACAGAGGCCATATGTATAACCTACTGAAACCTGGACTGGCCTTGCACCATCCTCGCCATGGCTCTGATGCTTGAACCTGTTGTCACAACCACTTATGTCAAACCATGTGTTTGCAGGGTCTTCTTCTTCGTCACTGAACGTCTACTTTCCAAACATGATGTCTTTTTCCAGGAGCTTGTCCCTCCCGATGATCTACCAAGTATGTGAGACAAAAACTCACCAGCCTCATTTTTGCAGAACATTCTTGCTAGTGTTTCTACCACTGGACTTGTTTGTTCTTGTTCATCCTTCATCACTGTCCAGTTTTCAAATCCATGAGGCGATTGAAAGCATCATGCCTTGGGAAGGGGGCACATTGTTCTTCAAAGTAACATCTTTGCTTTTGAGCACTTTAAAAAGGTCTGTGCCAATACTTCCATGTGATTTTCTTTTCTTTTTTCCTCCATCATTTTGTTGGGGGCTCTTACAGCTCTTATAACACTCTATACATCAACTGTATCAAGCATTTTTGTACATATGTTGCCATCATCATTTCCAAGACATTTTCTGCTTGAGCCCTTGATATAAGCTCCTCTTTTCCCCACTCCCTCCCACCCTTCTGTATCCTTGATCAATTATATATTGTTATTTCGTATCTTACACTGTCCTTTGTCTCCCTTCACCCACAGTTCCGTTATTCATCCCCTTAGTGGGGGGTGGGGAGGCCTAATATTCAATCTTGTGATGGGTTCCCCTTTTCTCACTTTCCCCTCTCCCTGATCATCCCTCTACTCTCATGATATTGCTACTCCCATTACTGTTCCTGAGGGGTTTATCTTTCCTGAATTCCCTGTGTTGAGAGCTCTTATCTGTACCAATGTGTGTTCTCCGGTCTAGCCAGATTAGTAAGTTAGAACTGGGTCATGGCAGTGGGTGGAGAAGTATTCAGGAACTAGAGGAATGATGTGTAATTTGCTGGTGCTATACTACACCTTGGTTGAATCATCCCTTTCTTATACCACTTCTGTGGGGGATATCCAATTATCTACAGATGGGCTTTGTTTGGGTCTCTACTCCAATACCCCTCTTTTGTATTGATATAGTTGTTTTGGATCTTTGGATACCTGTTGCCTGATCCTAATGACACCTCATGATCCCAGGCTGGTGTGCTTCTTCCATGTGGCCTTTGTTGCTTCCCTGTTAGATGGCTGCATGTTTGACTTCAAGCTGTTAGTACCCTAGATGCTATATCTTTTGATAGCTGGGCACTATCCGCTTTCTTCACCACATTTGCTTATGCACACATTTTGTCTTAAGCGATAATGTCGGGAAGGTGAGTATCAAAGAGTGCCAGGTTATCAGAACCAAATGTTCTTGAGTAGAGGCCCAAAGTCCGCCCACTATCTGAATACTTAGCATATAAATATATGTGCATTGGCCTCTATCCCTTTTATTATAAATATATTTACATATACACATTCTTATAGCTATAACTCTATAAATAGCATTTGCCTCCTATGTCTTTCCTCTATTTCCTTTCACCTTCCTCTTATCCCACACTCATGTTCACCCTCCAGTTGGCTCTCAGAATTTTCTCTAGGATACATTGCTCTTGCTCAAGCCCACCCAGCATGATATGCCCTCCTCACCGTCAATTTTAGATCTGTTGTTCCCTTATCTCTGAGTTTGCTGACTCCCCACTCCCCCTTCCCACCCCCTCCTCTCCCATGCCTCCCCCACTCCCCACCCCCCGAACCACCAGTCCTGTAGTTTTCTCCTTGGGGTTGTTCATCCTGCCTATCTTATATAGACAGACATGGGGCAAAAGAAAGAGAAAAACATAAACAAAGAACCCAATAAAACAAACAAACTGGTCAACACAGGGAAAAAAAAAACAATAGACAGTTCCAGGTCTATCTGCTGTATGTTTTCTGATCAAGGCTGATGAGGTGCCAAGCCCTGTTCCCAAGTCAGAAGGCTATTTCCAGGATTCCTTGAGGACTTGGTTACTTTGCTCCCCTTGCTGCCCAGTTGTACTCCCTTTGCATTTCATAGCACTGTGTATAGGGTGCACCAGGTACGCTTTCCGCCCCATTCTCCAGGGCTGTCCCCTGTAGCACTATGGGTCAGTGAGGGAACGTCCTATCTTATGGTGGGGTCAGCCCATGGTCCTCTCCATGAACTGGCTGCTCTGAGCAGGGATGTCATCCCTGGGGCTTGGTGGGCCATGATGAGGCGCTCTTTCTCCCTCTCCCTCCCTTCCTCGCTCCCTCCCTCATATTCATTCCTTTGTGGTCTGGGCAGACCCGCTTCTCCCCTGGGCTATATCTTCAGTGTTGTCCTCTGTATTGCCTTTTTCTAGGATGGGGTTAATGTAGCTCAGTTTGGGCCTCTCTGTTAGTTCGCTGCTCCATGCCAAAGTACTGCCCTCAAGGCTTGGTGCTCTGGGATGGGGTCTGGTCCCTCTCTCCCTTTCCTGTGGAGACACAAGCAATACCCTCCCCTTGGGTGCATGAGTGCCCTGTTCCCCATCACTCTTGTTTTCTTTTTCTTTCTGATTGTGGATGCAAGCAAAAATGAAACCCTTAAGAATGTCAGTATTTTCTTTATTTTGACATTGTTGGTTCAGCTGTGACGCTTTTTGTTTCCTTTATGTTGAGGTGTAATCCATAGGCTCAGCCTCAGTAAGTGCGCAAGTCCTCTATGCTTTAAGTTAGCAGAGTTGTGCTGTGTGCATGCTGTCGGTTCCTCCAGAGCCTTACTCCAGTCCTGAAGCTGTGCCCTTCCTCACTTAGTCCAGCTTCATGGTCACTCACTCATCAGACACACTGTCCGTGAAACGAAAGGCGACAACCCTGGCACACACCTTTTCTGACGTTATACTATATCAGATCCCCTTGTTCGGTTGAATAACTGCCTCTTATTCCAAGTACATCTTTAGATCAGGGCCATAAAAACATTTATCAATTGGGTACTCCAAAAGTATCCACAGAGCAACAAGGTACTACCTAAGTTGCAAACATTTAGTCTGCAACTGAATGCAGGGCTTTGCAGTGATGCAGGACACTTACAGACACATACTCGGGAATAGAGAGCTGATCTTCTGGGAAAGATTTCAGCTTCAGATACTGCTCTTCTGCCAACTCAAAGTCACGCAGATTTCGACGAACATCTCCAGCCTTCTCTCTCAGCTGATGATTCGTCTCTTCTAATTGCTTTTGTCTCAGTAAGATAGTTTCCATTTCTTGTTTCAATAGTTCTTGATATTTTCTATATTAAAAGAGAATTTACAGCAAAGTTAAGAAACTTTTGAGATTTATATTTTATAGTAATAGAAAACTCAGAAAAGTCCAGCTAAATACCTATTTATTTAAACAAATAAACAGAAAACAACAATTCTATACTAATCATTATGTAGACATATTGTTATTAAAGAGCAAATTGGTATGCCCAAAGAACTATTTTAAAACTTAAAATGGTACAATTATACACTTCCTCTGCTTGAGGCTCAAGAGTCTTGTATCTCTTTTGGACCCTACCCATTGCAAGAATTTTCATTATTTTTATCCAAGTACTTTAAAGAATATTTCTCTCTTTCTTTTAAGGATATTTCTTTAAGATGAAATATTCAACCTTCATCGGGCATTCATTCAGCCAATCAAGGAATGTAGACAGTAATCAGTACTCCCAAAGACTAAATGTAGCTGATACTGTTGCCCTTGGTTGTCTAACTGGAGATTTGGAACAGGAAGTGACAATCCCTGCCCCCCCTCATTTTACTCTATCAACATACAAATATATTATTTCTTTAATCTTAGAACTGAACAAACAAAATAATAAAATTATTGACTCATTCTCTCACTCCCTTGTCTTCCCACTTATCAAAACTTCTCAAAAGTTTTCTATAGCTTTATCTCTATTCCTTTCCTGTGCCACCCATACCCTCTCTAAAAAAGTCAGGCGTCCCAGTGCTAAGATGGACAGTCAGCAGTTTGAACCCACCAGCTGCTCAGAAGGAGAAAGATGATGCTGTTACCATAGAGATTTACAACTTGGGAAGCCCTATGGAGCAGTTCTACTCTGTCAGTGAGTTCAACTATCAAATGTTGAAGGTCCCCAATGATTATCAGGCAGCTTAATCCAATGATCAGTTTTTAATCCTCTTTCATCCACAACCGACTAGTAGCATTTGACAAAATGATCGCTCTTTCCTCATACATTAATCTAGCTTCTAAGATACTGTCCACATTTTCTGCTGTGTACTGGTGGTACCAACACAGTTGCCTTTTCTGGTTTGTCTGAATGTTGAAAGTCCTCGGTTGTCTTCAGTGGAATTCAAGCCCACAATCAAACGGGCCCTTCGGAGTGGTGCGTACAAATTCAGGAAAATAAAGAAGACTGAAAAGCAAGGCACAGGGGCTCATCTCCAATGATGGAATCAGAGCAAGAGAGAGAGTGCGGATTTATTTAACAAAGTATAAGTCGTAGTAAGGAGACACGCAAGCCTCCAGCAGGCACATACACAACAGTATAGGTGGCGTCTTAACCTTGGGATGTCCCCTGAGCTCACCAGGGAAACCCCCATGACAAGTATCAAAGGGAGGGGACTTCTCCCTGATCTGGAAGGACAAAGAATCTGATTGCATTTAAAGGTCAGAATTCTCCAGCTACACAGTGAGCAGCAGGGGGCTCGTATGGTGGGCTATTGTGGGGAAATCTTTCCTTCTACAGAATGTGCATTTGACATTATCTCTGTCTTGGAATTGTGGGGTATTTCTCTAATATGAGGACTGGTCTTCCAAGCGCTGTGGTTACGAGCCTAGAGATTAGGCCGCACACGCTCCCTCCCAGGTCCTCAGTTTTCCACTGTCTGCTCCACCTATAAATACTTCCGTGGGGAACAAACCCAGTTTCATGACTTCAAATATGATCTATAAACCTAATGATGTCCAGGTTTATATCTCTAGGCCAGATTTCTCACGCGCCCCAATGGTTATCACCTTCCACTGCAGTTTTCACTGAGAATAATTCCATCCTTTCATTTATTCAGACCAAAAGTGCTGGCACCATGCTTGACTGCATCTTTTTTCAAACCACAGATTGAATATACCTTCAGTTCGACCTTCAGAGTAGATTCAGAAGCCAATCACTCTTTACTATCATCAGCCATCATGAGAATCATTTTAACAGCCTCCTCAGTGCCATCTCAGCATCATTCAATCTACTGATGAATTATTTAAAGACTCAGAGTATAAAAACTAAGAACGCAAACCACATTCACTGCCATTGAGTCAATTCTAACACACGCGTGACCATATAGGGCAGAGTAGAACTGCCCCTGTGGGTTTCCACGACCATACTTGTTCTTTTAAAAGACCATAACTCTCTACGAGAGTAGAAAGCCTCATCTTTCTCCCTCAGTTAATGGGTTCAAACTGGTGACTTTACGGTTAGCAGCTCAGTGCATAACCCATTATGCCCTCCATGTGCCTTCGAATGTGACAGTGGCAAATAAGTCATCAGGTTTTTTTCTGTTTTTGTTTTTTAAGTCAGGATACTTTTTATGGATTTGATAAATTTTTATCCGTGATAATTAAACCTACTGAAAGGTAGCTGGATTTAGGGACAAGTAAGGCTGTCTCCCCAATGCCTGCAAAGGCCCACATAAAGGGTTGGAAAGAAACCAGGTACTAATTGGACACCTTGAGAGACCCAAACGGAGCATGCACAGACTAGGGACCCATAGCACAGGTGAAACCTACAACTCAGCCTCCACGCAGGCCATGACATAACCCAGGCGGGCCTAAACTCAGCCAATGGAGCCAACCAATCAATGCCTTCAACCACGCCTCCCCAGCTCAGAGGTGTTAAATCCCCGCCCACCCCCGCCCACGGGGGAAGGCCAAGTCTCTTTCACTTTGGTCTTGCTCAGCTGAATGCTGTAAAACTTACAGTGTAAATGGAGGGCCACCCTCTTCGTCTCTTGGACTCCGGGGATTCCCTAGTTCCACACATGTGGGTGCTCTTTTCCACGTGGGTTTTTGTGCCCAGTTGTGAACCCGAGCGTGGCTTCTATTCCACTTGGCATGCTTTCCAGAAATAGTGTGTACCTTTTTAAGACTGTAAAGACTGAAACTTTTCCTTTCCTTCATAAAAACACTTGGATTACAAATGTGCTTCTGCGGTGGGAATTCTTCCAGAGCCATGTAGCAAGAACCAAGGTTCACTCCACTCCAGAAACCCAACACTATTATGCTTACATTTAATTAAGTCATTCCATCTTTATTGGACTCTAAAGAATTAATTATGGTTGTTTAACAAATTTTTTTTTTGTAACTTAAACTTCTCATTGCAAGTGTACAGAGCAGATCATTAGTTTTAAGTCAACAATTCATACACCTCTGTTCAAATTCACCCATGGCAATCCCCTACTGCATCATCACGGACCCTACTTCCTCCCTGTGTTTTCTGTTTCCATTCTTCCGTCTTTCCTAATCTTTCTTTTTTTTGCCCCAGTGGGATTTAATCATAATGGTTTTCATGGAAACAATGTGTCTTCCTTGTATTTATATTTCATTATTGAACTAAACAGTATGTTAGATGTACAACTGGCACAGACATAGTGGAGAGTAGTGCCCAGGTTCTTGAAGAGCAAACACACCGAGGAGCTGGGGAAGCAGGCAGCAGACCTGAGGTTTCTGAAGGCAGGTGCACGCGAGGCGCCCTGGGGCACAAGCAGCATCTTTACAGAGCAAAGGAAGAAAGTTCATCCCGAGAGCAGGGAAGGGGCAGTCAGACTGGAGAGCTGCCACTGTTGCTGATGGTTTACCATCACAGTGGCTGAAACGTGCTACTTGAATGAATATTGAATTCTGACTGTTTATCTTGAAGCACAATGCTCATTTTTCGTATTTTGTATACTGTATCAAGTAACCTACATTTTGCTGGCCTGGGTGTAAACACTACCATCACTGACTTGAAAATCTCCCTTATTTCCACTTATACGCATGAATAGGTGGTAGCTGTTGAGTATGCACAGTCACTGCTTTGAAGCGCTTCGTACCTGGCATCTTTCTGTTGGAAAGTCAACTGGCTGTCCAACCGCAATGCTAGCAGCTGCTTCTGGTGAAGGGCATCATTAAGTTTCTCTTCCAATTCTTCAATCTGAAGAGGAAAAGGTAAATTACAAGGCTGTTTTTCAAACTTATTGTAAAGTAAGGCCTATTTTCAAAAGTACTAAACGTATTTTTTAAAAAGCACTTAAAAGAAACAGGCCAAAACCAAATAAGGTCTTCTACGGGGTGGTGATGGGAGGACAGGGCAATGATGCGTCTACACATTAATCTTGGTCTTACCAATGAGTTTCCCAGCAGCCATAAACAGTGTTTGCTCAGAAGTTCAACAACCTGGGATTTCATGCTGGTGCCTTCCCTGGGTTGTTTTCCAGCCCAGATCAGTACGTCTTTACTACTTGTTGCCATCACGCCGACGAGTGGGAGGCCGAATATTAAAAAGCACTTTTAGATCGGTCCCTAGGCTGCAGTCTTCTACAGAAGCAGATGGCCAGCTCTGTCTCCCATGGAGCCACTTGGTGGGTTCCAATTGCCAACCTTGCAGTTAGTGTGGTACTTATATAATAATTTTTCAATTTGAGGATTAAGAATGTAGGGGTGGAGTCAAGCCTGTCAATCAGATCATAGCCAATGAGGCCTCTGTGTGGGCATGGCCTTCTCCTGAGAATTCTGGGAACTCCAGGATTTCCTCCTTGGAGGCAGGAGAGACTCTCTCTCACTATTTCACTCCCTGGAAGACACTGCAGCTGACAAGACACATGGAACTACCCTAGTACCCTGAGCTGGACAAGCTACATGGATGCAACCAGACTTTGGAAGCCGGAGAAGCCACCTGCTGGAGAGACCCCTGCCAACGCTGAGATGCTTACACCACTGGACCCAAAGTCTTTCCACCCACTGGCTTGTGGTCGTCCTGCATTTGGCTTCATTGCATGGGTTTCGTGAGTCTGAAGTGGACCTTATAGACTGGTATCAAACATATGGGCTAATATCAGACTTATGGCCTTGGACTAGACTGGGTTGGGATGCTTTCTTAATGTGCAATTGCTCTTGTATATAAACCTTTTCCTTATACACACGTGTGTCCATGGATTTGTTTCTCTAGTCTACCCAGACTCACACAGTTAGCAACCAAGTTTGTAACCACCAGGGCTCTTTTCATTTAAAAAAAAGACAACAACCAAAAACTTAAAACCAAATTCACTGCCATCGAGTCGATGCTGACTTACAGCGACCCTATAGAACTGCCCTATGGTAGTTATATAATTGTCAATTTAAGGATTAAACATGTAGGGATGGAATCTAGCCTGTCAATCAGGATATAGCCAATGAGGCTTCTGTGTGGGCATAGCCTTTCCCTAAGGATTCAGGGAATTCCAATATTTCTTCCTTGTAGGTGGGAGACTCTCTGCTCACACCCGGGGAGAGATACCAGCGACAAGACACATGGACCCATTCTGATGCAGCCCTGGGAAACCATGCAGAAACCCCTTCCAGCGCTGAGATGTTTCCAATGTCACTGGATCCAAAGACTTTCTACCCACTGGCCTGTGATCTTCTACATTCGGCATCATTGCATGTGTTCCGTGAGTCTGAAGAGGACTTTATAGATTGGTATTAGACAGATGGGCTAATATCGGACTTATGGACTTGATCTAGACTGGGCTGTTTTCTCAATGCTCAATTGCTCTTATATATAAATCTCTTTCTTATACACATATGTGTGTCCATATATTTGTTTCTCTGGTCTACCCAGACTAACACATGACCCTAGGGGTATCTGAGACTATCACTCTTTAATGGAGTAGCATGCCTCTTCTTTCTCCCATGGAATATCTGGTGGCTTTGAACCACTGACCTTGCAGGCAACAGCCCAACAAATAAACACTAAGCCACCAAGGCTCCTGTCATTAGTCATAGGGAAATACAAATCAAGTCACCATACAATACAGTTACATACCTGTAAAATGGCTAAAATTAAATATGGATACTAGAAAGTGTTGCAAAAGTGTAATTACTATATAGGACTACAAAACAGTCCCATAACTCTGCTATAAAAACATATATGTCCACTCAAAGATTCATAGGTTAATGTTCATACCTTTATCTACAGTAACCCAAATCAGGTAAACAGATAAAATGAATTATGAAATACATAGAGAATTCCACTCAATGGTAAAAAGGAACAAACTAGTGATTCACCCAGCAGAGAAGATGAATCTCCAAACTTAAATAAGTCAGACATTAAATACCTTATTTTTATATTGTATGAAAGCTTCAAAATGGAATTCTAAAAAAGGCAAAACTAGGTGATAAAAGCAAATCAGTGGCTGTTGGCTAGGACAACCACAAACAAGCAGACATATCACATGGTCTTGGTTTTTCATGTCCTCAAGCAAAACAAATTCCCTGTATTGTCAACTATTCCAACTCATAGAAACCCTGTAGGGCAGGGTCGAACTACCCCTTGGGTTTCCAAGACTAACAATGCCACAGGAATAGAAAGCCTAGGGAGCAGGTAGTGGTTTCAAACTCCTGACCTTGCTGTTAACAGACCAACGCATAACCATTATGCCACCTGGGTTCTTTTTCATGCCCTAGAAGATGCCATATTAAAAACAAAAATTATTGCTGTTGGGTGCCATTGAGTCAATTTTCTAATCATAGCGTGGTAGTTACATAATCTGTTGTCAATGTGAGACTTAAGAGTGAAGGGGTGGAGTTTAGCCTGTCAATCAGTTCACAGTTTGATGACCTCATTTGGAGGCGCAAAGGAGATAATAGCTCTCTGGAGGCGGGACACAAGCTCACTCCCTGCGAGACATTACAGAAGACAAGCATTGATGCAGCCAGAACTCAGGGAGCTGGAGAGCCATGTGGAGACCCATGCCAGCGCTGAGATGCTTACACTGCCACTGGAGCCACAAGACTTTCCACTCACTGGCCTGTGATCTTTCTTCCTGCATTTGATGTCATTGCATGTGCTGCATGAATCTGTAGAACAATTTACAGACTGGTAACGGACATATGGGCTAATATCGGATTTTTGGACTTGACCTGGAGTGGGCTGGGTTGCTTTCTTAATGTACAAGTACTCTTTGATATAAAATTCTCTCTTATACACATATGTCTATGAATTTGTTTCTCTAGTCTACCCAGACTAACTCACATAGCAGCCCTATATTACACAGTAGAGCATCCCTATAGAATAGAACTGTGCCCATAGGCTTCTCTTTCTATATTGAAACTTTGTTAAGTTTTATACTTTTTCGCTCCAATGTTCAGGTCTATGGTCTATTTGGGGATATTTTATACCAGGCACAAGGCAAGGTTACCAAAGGGGAAAAACTAAACTCACTGGCATAGAATCCACTGCAACTCTAGTGACGCTACATATGATGCCTGTGACCGTGAATCCGAGAGAAGACAGCTTCATCTCTCTCATGTTGAGTGGGTGGTGGTTTTGAATAGTCAACCTGTGGCTTTCAGCACAACACCTGACCTATAGCCACTAGGATTCCAAGAGGTTTATCTTTTGGCATATGGATATCTAATAGTTCCAACATATCTGTTGAAAAAATTCCCCTTTCTTGATTTTAATGATCTTGGCACATTGTTGAAGGTCTATGAATAATATAATTAAGAGACCATTTGGGACTCTTATAGTCTGTTCCATTCATTCATATGTGTATCACTCTACCAATACCAAACTTTCTTGATTACTGTAGCTTTATAGAATGTCTTGCAATCATGTAGTGCAAGTCTTCCAACTTTATTCCTTTTCAAAATTATTCTGGCTGGTCAAGGTTATTTTGAATAACCATATAAAAATCCAATAAGTCTGTCAATATCTACAAAAGAACCTGCGGAGTTTTTATTATTGGGATTACCTTGACTATATGGATCAATTTAAGGAGAAATGATACCTTAATACTATAGTCATGAACAAGCTAAATATCTCCACTTATCTGGGTCTTTATAAATTTCTCCCAGCAATGTTTTATATTTCTCAATATACATATATTACAGATTTTGTTAAACTTACACATATTTTTGATGCTAACTTAAATTTCCAATTGTCTGATGCCAGTAAATGGCAATGTAACTGATTTTTGTATGTTGACCTTGTATCCTGTAATCTCGCTTTAGTCACTTATTCTAAGCACTGTTTTTTGTAAACCCCTTGATGATCTTGTACATAGACATCAGGCATCTGTGAATACAAAAGAGGTCTAATTCTTCCTCTCCACTTTGTGTTGTTCCTCATATAACATTTTAATAAAAATCCCACCAGGGATTTTGGTATACCTTGTATGTGGAAAATGCTAAAGAAGCTGGTCTGAAACACATGTGGAAGATGCTGAAGAAAAGTAAAACAAACATTTGATAACAGAAAAACATGAGCATAGAGGAAAGATTAGTTAGAAGTTCACTAAGCCCATTTTGTCTTCCTGAACATACAGTCAAACTGTATTCCCAAGTCCTTTGTCAGATAGATAGGCAAAACCATGTGACTTGCTCATGTCAATGGAGTTTGGGAGAAAAAAACTAGTTAAAATTCTAGATAGCTAATAGTAGATGAGCTTGGCCATCTCAGGTACGACAACTGGTCTTTCCCTGTCTGGAAGAAAGGGACGAGAATTGAAGACACTTTGAAACAATTAGTGCAATTAACTAACAGGCCACACAAGCATCAGTCTCCATATCCTTAAGACCAGTACCGAGGTGCCAGGCTACCATTACTAACTGCTCTCTCTGAACGGAATCACACTGAAGATCCTGAATAGAATAAGTAAAAAACTGTGGAACAAACCCCCAAATCATAAGAGACAGGCTTACTGCTCAAGTACCAAATTGGTGAAATCCCAAGACGATGCCTTAGGTGCTGTTTGCAAGCACATGGTCACTGACTATCCACTATCCACTGACTCTACAACTGCCTGAAGGTTATCAGTCACCTAAGGCAATCAGGTCCTACTGTCTGTCCCACCCAAAATAGGCACAGAAGGGCTCACTCCCTTCTGATAAGTATAATGGATTGTTCCCCTGAAGAAGAACACAAAGACACCTAAGGTCGAATCAAGGTTAGGC